AATCAGCTGAAAATGAAAAGGGTTTATTTGGGCTAACAGTTTTAGGGGTTCTAGTCCATGATTGAACAGCTCCATTGCTTTGGGCCATTGTCAGGGAAGAACATCACAGTCTTTATCCATCTTTAGTTTGTTTTTGTGTATGGTTAAGGGCCAATTTTTCTCAGACATTCTCTTTACTTGATGCCTTTGCCAAAAATCAGTTGACCATATATATGCTTGAATTTATTTCTAAGCTCAGTATTTCATTATGCCAGGACCACAGTGTTATTGTTTATGCTTTTGTAACCGAATTTTATATCAGGAATAGTGAATTCTCCAAATTTATTTTTCTTTCTTGTAATTGCTTAGCTACTTAGAGTTTGGGTTTTTTTCTGTTTCTATAAAGAGTCTGTTGAGATGTTGATAGGTATTTCATTAACTCTATAATATTTGGGGTAATATTGACATTTTAATTTTATTAATTATTTTACCCATGATTCTGGAGTATCTTTTCCATTCGTTTGAATCCTCTTTAATTTTTTCATAGATTATTAAAATTTCTGGTGTATAAGTCTTTTGCCTTCTTTTTTTAAAGATCTATTTATCTATTATATATACAGCGTTCTGCCTGCATGTACTCCTGCAGGCCAGAAGAAGACACCAGATCTCATTAGGGATGGTTGTGAGCCACCATGTGGTCACTGTGTATTGAACCCAGGACCTCTGGAAAAGCAGCAAGTGTTCTTAACTGTTGAGCCATCTCTTCAGCCCCCGTATTTTACCTTCTTGATTAAATTTGTTCCTGAATCAGGTTTTATTTTTGTGACATCTTAACATTTTTTTGTATATCAATTTTCTCATGTGTGAATAAAGACAGTTTTATTTCTTCCTTTCCAACCAGCCCACTTTTATTCTCTTTTCTTTCCTACTGCATTCACTAAGACTTCCTACACAGGGTTAAAAGGCCACAGTGGGAAGAGACACCTTTGTTTCTCCTCTGATGTCCATGGGATCTGTGTTGATTTCATCTCCCAACTTCAGCTGCAGCTCCTCTGGTAGAGTCATCTGGGCTTTCTACATTTAGGACCATGTTGCCTAAAGAGCTGGTGGACGACAGCACGGAGCACACCCAGCAGCTTAGACCTAGAGCACTGGGCTGTTTTTGTGCTTCTGACTGGGCTGGGGGTGAGGTGCACAGCATACGACAGTGGCCTGATGTCATTTGGGATCCAGGGTCAATATGGCACAGCAGCAACTCAGGCCCAGAGTTTAGGCCACATGGTAGTATCCCTAAACCCTGGAGTGGTGGTACACCGTATGTCCCAGTAAGTACCGAGCTGTGGCTTAAAAGCCAGAGGCCAAAGGTCAAGACAGTGAGGACTCCACCATGCAGCACAGCAGGAAGCTTCCCAGCTCAGACTTCAGGGGTTCAGTTCAGTTCCAAAGAAGTGGGGTACTAGAGCTGTTTAGTCTGGAGGGCAGGTGGTGACAGCTCACCAGCACTGCTTCTTAAGACTGGACTGCACCGTCAGCTCGGCCAGACACTGGGTCCCTGTGAGGCGGGCACCAAGTCAGCTCAGGTGATGGATGGGGTGCATGGTGCGGACTTCTCTGGAGTAGCTCTGTAGTTCAGCAGGAGGACCCCATTTATGGCATAGTGTCTATAAAGACCTCAGGGGTCCTCTGTAGTGAGGACTTCATTTGACCAAGTTGGTGAAGGTGTGGCCACAGCCCTCTTGACTACTGCCCCCATAGGAAGGAGTGTATCTAAGCTAATCTTGACTAGAGTTCTAGGCAGGGATGCTGGGGCGTAAGCCCTATGTATTTGCCCTGAATATCTGTGCTCTGGCACCCTTGTTTAATTATGTTTTTCTTAATCAGAACATAGCTGTTTACTTGTGGCCTTGGTTGTCTTTCAGGGTATGCGTGGAAGGCGCATCTAGTCAGTCATCTAGCTGATGCCTGTTGCCCTTAGCTTTCATTGAATACGGTCATAATTGAGGTTTTACGTGTCGATTTGGCTGGTTAAATCACGGGTTCCTTACGGTCAATCTCTCTTTCCTGAGTCAGTTGGTGCTCCATAAATGTCCCTTAAATGAGCAGCTGCACCCCCTAATGAGATGATTAGTTCACCCGACACGGACAGCCGTGCAGTGCAGTCCCTTCACGAGGGCAGATAGCCTCTGCATGTAGCAGGTAGTGATTTGAGCTGTGACAATGACTGGGGCCTGGTGTTCCCACAATTCCTAAAGTAAAGTACTTGTTCTTTTTGTCAGTATCTGTGGAATTGACTTTAGCTACTCTTCCATGAAACATCTAAATAGACATAGGAGCAACAGACTGCTATCTATCAAATGCAGATTATAGAATATTATGGAACCCAAGGCACATTCAGTGGCTATGTAATGATGCTACCATGTGTCATTACTCTATAGCAGGGACAGACACATTCTTCTACAAAGGGCCAGGTAAATACTTGTGAGCTTTGTAATAACACCTATGAACGACTGGATGATACACTCTATAAGAACAGGCAGTGAACCTAGTTTGTACTGCATGGCCCTGGTTTGTTTGTATCTGTTCTAAAGTGGTGTGTGTTCTTTAAGAATCAGGAGGCAGAGGCAAGTAGATCTCTGTGTATTTGAAGACAGCCAGGGGTTCACAGTGAGTCCCCAGCTCAAAAAATTATTCATAATTAAATATGTTCTTTGGCTTGGGGTTATATTTCAATGATTTTCACATGTTCAGGGCCATAGGTTCCATCCCCAGCAGTGTAAAACATTAATGTGTTCATTATTCCTCTCTTTCCCCACCCTTTTATCTAATAAAAAGATTATCTTCTTCTTAAAACTGCTTTTCTTAGTCACTTAAAATGTATACAAGACCAGGACAGGCAGAAGCTGGATCTGGATGAACTTTATTCATAAAAGTTGGCTATGGGGAAAAGTGATATGGTCCCTTTTCAGGTGTGCTAAGCTCTGCCTCATTGCCTGCCCTTTCTGCTGCTCCCCAATTAGTCCTCCAGGGCCATGGGACCCCATCCCGTTGCTCCCTCCAGCTATCCTGACACTGGGGCTGTGGCGGTGAGCTTCTCCATGCTTCTCTTCCTGTCACTTCAGTCTTGCTCTAGTGGTGACTGTCGTCCTAAGAACTCTGTGGAACCTTCTTAGTTCCCTCCAGAATACTCAGCTCAGCCTATAACTGGCAGCCTTTCGTACCCACCCCTTCCTCACCTGCCTTCCCAGTTGTCTTTGTTCCAAGTCAAAGCAAAACCATGAAGTTGCACAAGTCACAGCTTCCTAGCTTTCTGCTTCACTCTCCTGTGATTAGAGACCCGTGTCAACTCTGGCTAGCAAGTCTGCTGACTTTCCACTAGATTGCAAGGATGTTGGTTGCCAAGCAACACACATGTCATGGCTTCCTCCAACCATATGGACTCTTTTTTTTTTTTAAGCCACAAGTATTTGTCTACAGCTGTATCCCACATGTGGCTGGTGTGGAGCATAGGACAGCAGACTGGTGGAATGTTGTATCATGCTATTTGATTTGGTATCTTTTCCTGAAGATTTGCACAGTCTTGTGGAGAGCCAGAAGTGTGTGCCTGTGGCATGCGCATTATCAGCGAGACTTCCCACAAGGAACTTCATAGTTTAGTCATCTTGGGGGCCACTTACAGATCCTGTAGTTGCATGCTGCCTACTTGATAAAAATTTTGTAATCTCCAAGTCAATATTCCTGGTGTCTTCGTGGTAACTTAGGGGCAATGCAGAGGGCGGGGGAAATTTCTGAGTCCCTGACACATGTGTTCCTCACTGAGGAGTGACAGGTGAATGTTGCCTTCTGTGCTTTTGAATGCTTTATGCTTTCTGTCCATAATCTCACTTTCAAAAGATCCCACAGAATGGTACTGAAGTGCTTTCTAATAGAATGAAGCACAAAGCAGATGCTCTGTGCCTCATGGAGAAGATGTGAGAGTTAGGTAAGCTTCATTCAGGTATGAGTTCATGTCCTGCTGGCTGCAAGTTCAGTATCAATGCAGCAATAGAAGGAAGAAGGAATTTGCTTACTCCTGAAATGGTGAAGGGCACATCTACAGTTCATGATGAAACTATGAAAAGATGAAGAGGCTGAATTTGTAGACTTATCAGCTGCTGAATAATTAGAAGAACAGTGGGCAGTACCACTGTGAGACTGAAGATCAAGACACCTCTGTCATATCTCCTAGAGCTAGGAAATTATTGAGCACTCTTGATAGTATTTTATCACAAAGAAATATTGTGTAAACATTATTTATTTTAAAAAATCTTGTATATTGCCCTGGGCCTTGTTGACACTAACCAAGATAGTAGTTCCACATAGCAACTGCAAAGTTCCCAGAGGAAGCCTTTCTAGAAAGTTCTGCTTTCTGTTGCTAAGTGACTATTTGGGCTGTGTCTGCATTTCTTTACTTATCTTGAATAATGATGTCTTTTCCTTCAGTGATACTGGGTACAATGACAGTAGCATGTCTCTATGCTATAAAAGGGATTTTGAATGTGTTGTAAACACATGGGGCTTCTGTATAAGCTCATAGCATGATTTTTCTATTACAGGGATTGCCCATGTGCAGAAACTTGCTGAGAAGGCCTATATGTGCAGATAGCATGCCAGATCACTGGTCACAAAGCCATTTTCTCCTGATCCCTTCTCCTTGTTTCTATTCCCAGGCCTCATTATGTGCGATGTCATATGCACACAAACAGACACACTAGAAAAGCCCATCGTGGCCAGGACAGTAGTGCCAAGGGAGGTGTTTGCATGAATCCCATCCTTGGAGTTAGAAGCCCTTGCTCAGCTGCCAACTACAAATAGCCCCATGCTGCAAACCAATGCTAATTAGTATGCCATTAAAGCAAAAAAAAAAAAAAAAAAGGACGAAAACCACCACCCACAACCAAACAGCCACGCACGAACCTGAAGTCCTGCTCTGACAGGCAGCATGAGGCATGGCCCACTAATGCAGCCTTAATCCACTTTGGCAGGGAGAGCAAGCTCACCATGCTTCTGAGGGAGTCTCTGGGGAATGTGAACTGTCGCACCACCATGATCGCGCACATCTCGGCTGCAGCTGGCAGCTATGCGGAGACCCTGTCCACCATCCAGATCGCATCAAGAGTCTTGCGGATGAAGAAGAAGAAGACTAAGGTAAGGGACTCGTATGTGGGAGGGATAATCCATTAAGGATGAGAAGCTCAAACGCCCACTGGTACCACCATTCTCCACTGAGCACCAAGGACTGCAGACGTGGCTGCTGCAGTCACCATCTCAGAACAGAAAAAGCCTTCTAGCCAACCCAGGAGAAACTTGAGCCTCCTTTCCATGGTTGATGCCGTCCTGGGTATCCACCCTGACCCCTGACTGGGACTACTTTAGTAGATTACCACTGCGAGGTGAAAAACGTTTGAGGGGTGGGAAGGAATCAGTCTTCTCTGTGGTCCTACATGGGTGAGGACTGCATCCGGTGAGCTGGCCCCAGAGAGAATAGTTAACGCCTTACTCACGTAGCTCCGCTGCCCCTGCATGTCCAGGAGCCTTCAGGCCGTGGGTTCTCGTGTCAGTCTGCTGGAGTCTGCATTTCGCTGAGCTGAAAGCCGGGACAGCAGTAAAATGTCAAGAATGTTTGGGGGGAAAATGTATGGGCCAACTAGTGATGCTTGGGGATGTCTCCTTCCCTCTCTTTATATACTCCTTTTATGTATATAAAAGGCAAGCCTTCATGGTCAGTGTTCTGAGGCAGGGGGATAACCTTGAGGAAGTCATGTGGGGCCTGGATAGGTCACCACCTTTCCCAAGAAGTGTACAAATTCACCAGCGTGCAATTTGGGATTATCTGTGCACATATACCGATGGAATGGGACAGGAAGGTGTCCTAGCACAGCCCCTCTACAGGCTAATCCTCAAGAGCCGGTCAGATGACACAGGCTCCCTAGGAGGGAGGGCTGTCTCGAAAGAAACTCCCCATTAACGATGCTCTTGCTCACATTGCAGTACACGTCAAGCTCCTCTGGGGGAGAAAGCTCCTGCGAGGAGGGCAGGATGCGCAGGCCTACCCAGCTGAGACCCTTCCATGCCCGGGCTTCGGTGGATCCTGAGTTCCCTCTTGCTCCGCTGTCCAGTGACCCTGACTACTCCTCCAGCAGCGAGCAGTCCTGTGACACTGTCATATACATCGGGCCCAACGGCACAGCCCTGTCCGACAAGGAGCTCACCGACAACGAGGGCCCCCCAGACTTTGTACCCATCGTGCCAGCCCTGCAGAAGACCAGGGGTGACAGCCGCCCTGCGGAGGCAGCAGAGGCTGCAGCCGACAAATCGGAGAGGGACTGTCTGAAGTGCAATACGTTTGCCGAGCTGCAAGAAAGACTAGACTGCATCGACGGCAGCGAAGAGCCCAACACGTTTCCCTTCCAAGAGCTGCCCATCCAGTTCGGGCCAGAGCAGGCAGCCAGGTGTGTTTCCTTAAGCCAAGCAGCAGGGCCAGATGCACTCTCTGAGTCTGATAAGGAAGATAACGCATCAGACAATGGCCAGCTGGGCACCGACAGGGAAAGCGGCACGGAGCTTCCGGCTCCCAAGGTGCAGCAGCAGAATCGGTCCCCGGTGCCTACTGTGACTGGCAGCAGCAGCCCCAGCCCTGCCTCGCCTCGGAGCATCCCAGGCAGCAGTAGCCAGCACAGTGCCTCCCAGCTCACACAGAGCCCCAGTCTCCAGAGCAGCCGGGAGAGTCTGAACTCGTGTGGCTTCGTGGAGGGCAAGCCCAGACCCATGGGCTCCCCACGGCTGGGCATCGCCAGTCTGTCCAAGACCTCAGAGTACAAGCCCCCCAGCTCTCCCTCCCAGAGGTGCAAAGTCTACACCCAGAAGGGGGTCCTGCCTTCCTCGGCTCCACCACCATCCCTGAGCAAGGACTCTGGCATGGTGTCCAGTGAGTCCTTGCTTCAGCCTGATGTGCGTACTCCCCCAGTGGGAATGAGTCCCCAGGTTTTGAAGAAATCCGTGTCTGCTGGGAGTGAAGGGTTTCCCGGAACTCTGGTCGAAGATGAGCACCAGGAAGGTCCTCCTGCAGACTCGAAGAAAGAGATTCTGAGCACCACGATGGTGACTGTGCAGCAGCCACTGGAGCTGAATGGGGAGGATGAGCTGGTATTTACACTAGTGGAGGAGCTGACCATCAGCGGGGTGTTAGACAGCGGCCGCCCCACCAGCATCATCAGCTTCAACAGTGACTGCTCCGTGCAGGCCCTGGCCTCAGGCTCTCGGCCCGTCAGCATCATTAGCAGCGTCAGTGAAGATCTGGAATGTTACTCCAGCATGGCACCCGTCTCGGAGGTGAGCATCACACAGTTCCTGCCGCTCCCCAAGCTGGGCCTGGACGAGAAGGCGCGGGAAGCGGGCAGCCGGCGCTCTTCCATCAGTTCCTGGCTGAGTGAGATGAGCGCGGGCAGTGACGGTGAGCAGTCATGCCACAGCTTCATAGCGCAGACATGCTTCGGGCATGGGGAAGCCATGGCAGAACCCCCGGCCTCGGAGTTCGTCAACACCATCCAGAACACCGCTGTGGTGTGCAGAGAGAAGCCCGAGGTGGGCTCTGACAATCTGCTCATCTTGTCCGAGATGGGGGAAGAATCTGTCAACAAAGCCACTCCCATCAAAGGCTGTAAAATCTCCACACTGGGCAAGGCCATGGTCACCATCTCCAACACTGCCAACCTGAGCAGCTGCGAAGGCTACATCCCCATGAAGACCAACATCACCGTTTACCCCTGCATTGCCATGAGCCCCCGAAATGTGCAAGAGCCCGAGTCCTCCACGGCCACCCCAAAGGCAGCCCCCAAATCAGCCCAGTCCCAGGAAAGCAAGGACGCCAGTGTAAGAAGAGAGATGAAATTTGAAGACCCCTGGCTAAAACGAGAAGAAGAGGTGAAAAAGGAGAACGCTTACCCTGGGCAGGAAGGAGCTAGGTGTGAGACTGCCCCAAGCTCCCTGACGACTGAAGTTAAGTCAGAGCAGGAGCAGAGTGGCAGGCCCAGCTCAGGGGACAGGCTGAGCAACAGCAGTGGAGAGGCCTCTGCCTTTCAGGTGACTGACAACATTAGGAGGGTTGTGGATGGCTGTGAGATGGCCCTGCCCGGCTCGGTGACCCAGAGTCCGCTACATTCCAACAAAAATCTAAAGTCAAGCAGCCTCCCGAGGGCATTTCAGAAAGCTGACAGGCACGAGGCACTGGACAACTTCTACCATTGCCTGGCGGACAGCAATGGCTTCAGTGGGACGCTGGGCATCCAGTCCTCGAAGACTACCCTGGAGAGGAAGGTAGCTTCACCCAAGCATTGTGTCTTGGCACGGCCCAAAGGGACACCACCTCTGCCTCCTGTCCGCAAGTCTAGCTTGGACCAGAAGAACAGGGCTAGCCCTCAGCACAGCGGCGGCAGCAGCAGCACCAGCAGCCCCCTGAACCAGCCAGCTACCTTCTTGGCTTGCTTCCCTGATGAGTCCAACAGCAAGACTAAGGATGCCAGTAGCAGCAGTAAGCTCTTCAGCGCCAAGCTGGAGCAGCTGGCCAGCAGAACCAACTCTCTTGGCAGGACAACAGTCAGCCACTATGAATGCTTGTCCCTGGAAAGGGCAGAAAGCCTGTCATCCGTGAGCTCCCGCATGCATGCCAGCAAAGACAGCACCATGCCTCGCACTGGCAGGAGCCTGGGTCGCAGCGCAGGGGCCTCACCACCCAGCTGTGGCATCACCCAGTCTGCAGGGGCCTCTCCCAAGGCCAGCCAGTCTAAGATCTCGGCAGTAAGCAAACTCCTGCTGGCCAGTCCCAAATCCCGCAGCCTGTCCACCTCGACCACCAAAACCCTCAGCTTCTCCACCAAGTCCCTGCCGCAGTCTGTGGGCCAGAGTTCCAACCTGCCACCCAGCGGAAAGCACATGTCCTGGTCCACCCAGTCGCTCAGCAGAAACCGGGGCTCCGGGCTGGCTTCCAAACTGCCCCTGCGAGCCGTCAACGGGCGCATTTCCGAGCTGCTGCAGGGCAGTGCGGGCCCGAGGGGCGCACAGCTGCGGGCAGAGGCAGAGGAGCGAGGTGGAGCTCCCACGGAGGACAAGCCTTCCGCCGCCCACTTGCTGCCCTCACCCTACAGCAAGATCACCCCTCCCCGGAAGCCTCACCGCTGCAGCAGCGGGCATGGTAGCGACAACAGCAGTGTGCTGAGTGGGGAGCTGCCACCTGCCATGGGGAAGACGGCCTTGTTCTACCACAGCGGTGGCAGCAGCGGCTATGAGAGTATGATGAGGGACAGCGAGGCCACCGGCAGTGCATCCTCGGCCCAGGACTCCATGAGTGAGAACAGCAGCTCGGTTGGAGGGAGGTGCAGGAGCCTCAAGACCCCGAAGAAGCGGTCCAATTCAGGTAGGTCCTGGGCGTGGGCTGGGAGGACGGATTCCAGGATTTCTCCTCCCTCCCTCTTGACCCGCCATGGGGGTTGCTCCAGGCACTGGAACTGGAGTCCCATGCTCCCTTTCCTCACCTGAGGCCTTCCTTGGCTGAGGACATAATCCCCAGGCCCTTTCCTAAGGCCTGAGTGCCCCGCTGGGGGATGCTGGCTGTGGGGGTGTCAGGAGGCAGCTCATTCTAGCTTGCTTTGCTCCCCCTCCCTCTGCCTCCACGTGGGCGAGTTTCTGTTCAAAGGCTGAGAATACAGATGTCCAGGGCCTTCTGAGGGATCAGTTCTGTCTAGGAGCCACAGAAACCTGTGTGTGGGGCTGGTGTTCTCCAAGACCCTGGAATCCCCTTCATGGACATGGGGCACACTTCATCTCACTGATAGTCAGATACGGGAGGACTTTTCTCCATTCCTACCCCAAACACACTGGTGACAGTCACAGACACAACACAGCCACAGGTCTGCAACGCCCCTCCCTAAGTGTTAGACACCTGCTTGTAGGGGAACTCTTGGCCATCTCCAGAAACATGCCATTGGAAAGTACCTCACATCTGAGCTACTGCTGTTCCCTGGACTTTGGAGTAGACATGTGATAGTAGGTTATGTTGGGGGGCAGGGAGACCAAGGTCAGAGTCAGTGGCCCCGGTACCATGGAGTATATGAGTTCAAAAGTTAGTTGGGGTTGAGTGGGGGGGGGGTGGGGGTGGGAGGGAATTCAGAGACAAAAGCAAAGGTACCAAGAATAACTTAAATACCATGAGTATTTTACCTGAAACCATCCATTCTTCACTAGATACTAAAGGCATTGTCCCTATCAGTTCCTTAGTGCAGGAACTTCTGATTTTTTTTCTTAATTAAATAAAACTATTTGCCTTCTGTGCACTTCTGAACCTCTGCTGAGTGAGGACAGCAGGGTCTAACGTCCTTGTGGCCTGTCTTGCCTGTTCACTGTCCTGCATGCCCTGCCAATCTCTGCAGTCGAGGATTTCTCATGCCACCAGACTCATCAGAATTAAGAGATGGTGTGTCACGCAGAGACAGATCCTTCTCTTCCCAGCAGCTGCTGCAGAAACAGTCCGAGGGCTTCCACTCCCTGCCATGGGATTGTTTCTGCCTGTTTCCTGCCAATTGTGGCCCCACGCTCTGCAAGGGGCCAGTCCACGTGAGGGCCGAGATGAATGCCCATCATAAACCACTTGTCTTCCTGCGATCAAAGAATTCAATCTCAGGGGACCATGTAAGCTTGTGGTTTCCCATCATCATATGCCATGATGTAGAGAGGCCCATCCATCTGCCCAGCCATCATAGATCACAGCACAAGGTGTCAGTGACGACACTCCATTCCGGGCAGGCTCAGGCACTGTTGTGGCTGCTGCCGCTGTGGCATCTGCATTTCCTACTGAGCTCTCACTTTATCCCCGTCTCAGGCTTTGTAGAAGACTCTCTATGTAAGATGAGGTGACAAGAGACAAGTGCTTGGTACAACAAGGAAGCCACTGTGGCCCATCCCCAGGGCCAGGAGCCCTGAAATGCACTGGTATTAGTTACTGAAAATAGCAAAATATTTACGCACACCAGTCCTCATGGAAAACAAATATGCAAGCCTTCCTAGCACTTGATTGACAGGCTTTGTTATTACTGCCTACTCAGTTTTGGTCTTCGAAACCTGGAGAACAGGGTAAGGCTTGCCTCAAGGTTCATCTGTGTTTTCCTGGTACAGTGTGTTTCTGTTTTCTAATTTCACGTGTTGTTACCCAGCTCCTTTATTCGTCCACTATCTTAAACTTTCTGGTCAAGTCTTCTTAATCTGTTGGTTTGGCTGAGATGCTGGAGTGAAGCAGGAAAGCAAGTGGAAGCAATGTGCACGTAACAGCTCAGAGGGGGGCAGTGGGCTCTGCACACGCCCTTGCTCGGGGCCACCTCCAGTCTTAACGGCTGCCCTCTGAGGGACTCCTCTTAGAGGGCCATTGAAGGAAAATGGTGTGACATAAAAATGCCAGGGAAGGTGCTGGCGATGGAATTTAATATGGAGTGTCTGAAGCATTAGGCCTCTGTGCTCAGCCACCGGAGATTGAGGGCTCAGTGATGGATACTGCAGGGAAGATGTGCTCATCGCAGGTTAGGTGACCTTGTCTGGCTTATTTATGATTATTATTAAGAGAAATGCTGGCTGTCAGACCTGATCAACATAAATCACAACAACTTCTTTAAGAGAAGCCATAAGACCCCTTAAAGGAAATTCCTAACTAGATGGCTGGTCCTTGGTGGCATGGGAGATGTCTGGGGTTTAGAATTGCCAAGAAAGGCATTTCTTTTATCTGTGGTTGCCTCTGCATTCGGAGAGTTGTGACGATTTGGTTGTTTTCTTACTAAGAAAGAATTAGAATTGTGTTGCTGGGAAATAACCATGAGCTCTCTGATTCCCGTGTGATATATATGTAGCGGTGGAATTCATCAGACATTGCTGTGTGTCACCACCATTCAAGCCCTTTCCTAGAGGTTCCTGCTGGTGAATAGCACATGAGATTGGGCTTACAGCATGGCATATCAAAAAGATTAAGCTTGGGGCCATAAGCTATGTGACTTTTAATTAGCCTTTCTGGGCCTCTATTTTCTTATGTGCAAGGAAGATGATGGACTTGATAAATAACGGCCGTGGTCCTTTTGCTGCGTGCATTACTATTATAAAACTAAAAATGAGAGTATGACATTGTTTCCGTAGGAAAACCCTATGTTAGTGAACTTCATTTTTAGTTATTGTATTAGACAATTTTTTGTTACTATAAAGTGATACCTGAGATGATCATGTTAAAAAGGAGAGAGGTTTATTTTATCTCCTGGGTGCAGTCATGATCAGTTGATCTTCTTGGTTTGGGACCAGAGGCGGGGCAGCACAGCCCAGCCGTGGGTAGATAGTGGAACAATGGTGGCTGGGAGTGAAAAGAGAGGAAGAAGCTGGGTTCTCGTAATTCCTTTCAAAGTCATATCCCCAGCCACCCAAGATGTCCCACTATGTCCCTCCACCCACATTTCCTACCACTTCCTAATAGTGTCACTCGGTTGACCTCACCTTTAAAACACTGGCCTCTGGGACACCCATGATCTAACTGCAGCAGCTGTTGGACATTGGTCAGGCATCCTCCGTCCTCCCAGATAGAGCTGTGATAATGGGAGGACGGGCAGCCTGTGAGAAGTGTGAAGTATTCAGAGAGAGGAGCGATAACATAAAGAGAAGAGAGACACTGCCCTGTGCTGAGCCCACACTGCAGCTCAACACCGGAAGCTTTTAGCCATGGGCAAGATCCGGCGAATCAAAGCAAGTGAGGACGGCTGTGGGGAGAAGGCCTGGCCTGAAAGATTCTGATGCTTACACAGACAGAGTGGAGGGCTTTGGAGGCTGAGAAAATAAATCCTGGGAGCCCAGGTTTGGAGCGGCAAGTGCATGGCCCACTTGCTGCAACATCGTGGGGTTCATTCAAGGGGAGCATCCTTAATGAGCATAACGAGAGCCTAGAAAATGGAAAGCCAGGTGACATTGTTCCTTGAGCATGTGGGAAATGCAATAAGAACACACAGATACATTCTATAGAGCTCTGTAGAACCGTGCTAAGAGCACATGATAGAGCATAGTCAGCAATGGAGAGTCATTACAAACTCTCAAGAGGAACTTGTGTGAGTGGATTTTCATTGATTCATCACAGTTCCTAGCCAGCCCTCTGTGGTAGGCAACACAAAACTGTGTAGCCTCAAGCTCTGAATTAGAGAGAAGATAACCTGGCCCAGTGGGGGAACAGTGTCAGTCCAGCCTGTTAGGCACTTACTGTGAGCAGGATTTAATCGTCACTGCACCAGCCAGGCCCCGACCCTAACCCCACCACATCCCTCTGGGTCCCACTTCACTCTCTTCAGGCCTCTTTAACTCATCATCTGACCCTTGCATTATGTCATAACCACAGTGGGTTAGCCTCGTGCCTTCTCTTTCTTGCTTCCCTTCTGTTTGCTTGAAAAAGTTCCATAACTTGTCAGAAGGAAGTTCATCCCAATGCAGGAGGCCTGGCCTCCTGCCACCAGCATCCAGAAAACTTGGGGTAGAGGGAGAGGCTACCTGAAGAGAAGTCATCCACAGAAGCATATTGGTTCCAAACCACACCCATGCCTGGGCCAACCTAGCCATGAGCTTCTGGAAGACCTGCTTGGTAGTCAACACTGAGGAGGTGCAGGGTGCCATTGGGTACCACTGATTGGTTAGTGGTTGTGTTTGGCAGTATATCCCTAAAATGTGGCTCATGTTTCTTATCTAGTTCTTTAATATATATTGTTCTATTGGTAGTAAGTGTTTTAAATATTGAGTCCAGTCTAGTCTGTAGGGTTTTTGCTGTTGTTTGTTTGTTGTGTTTATTTGTTTGTTTGTTTGCTTGGCCGGTTGGGTTTTTGTCATGTGTAAACATTGACATTTGATAGGCTGGTCCTGTGGGTTACCATTTCCTGACTGTCATGAATTGAGCCCTGGGAATACCTGGTTCACTTCCCAGTACTGCACATGTACCTGTGACTAAGGACCCCCACTTAGGGGAACTGGGAGCGCCCCAGGTTGGCTCTGCTGCTCTCCTGGCTCCCCGGTGTGTGACCCGATTTTGTTTTAAATGAGATCAAGAAAGTGGCTGGAGGCATGACGAGAGTGGAGGATGGGGCTGAAGGTTGCCAGAGTGCTTCTCTAAGAGACTCCACCCAGATCCAGAAGAGAAAGGGCCAGGGTGAGGGAACCTCGTCACAGAAGACAATGGCTACGGTGAGGGAACCTTCGTGAACATATAATCAGAAGAAAGGAAAGGGACTGGCTCCCTAAGGTACAGGAAACTTTTGGAGTCGGTCCCTGAAGGTGATGGAGTAGGCGATGCCAGGGTCTTGGGGAGTCACAGAGAATATGAAATGGGCCAACCTGTGCCAGGAGGGAACTGGGTGGGTCCTGGAAAGACTCTGCCTCTCCATCTAGAGCAGTGGTTCTCAGCCTTCCTAATACTGTGACCCTTTAATACAGTTCCTCATGCTGTGGTGACTCCCCCCCAACCAAAAAATACACAAAGCCATATATTGTTTCATTGCTACTTCACAACTATAATCTTGCTACTGTTATGAGTCACAATGCAATCATCTGTGTTTTTGGATTTTCTTAAGTGACACCTATGAAAGCGTCATTTGAACCCCAAGAGGGTCTCGACCCACAGGCTGAGAACCCATCATCTAAGAGGGTTGAAAACTTTGATGAAAATGTCATAATAGGTTACACAGTCACAATTCTTAATCATCCAGGAGGTCTTGTCTCTGGCTTCATGGAGATGAGCAGGACTGTCACACCGATTTGTGCTATCGTTGGCTCTTTCCTGTCTTGGTACACTGCAGTTCTAGGGACTGTACCTTAAGCCAGATCCTAGTTTGCTTTCTGTTGCTGGAAGTACCCCAGTAACCTGAAAGTAAGTAGTTAGGGAAGAAAGTGAGTTCAGAAAGAAAGCTGGAAATACCATCTTCAGAGGTGGAGATAGTAAACCATGAGGAAAATCTCAGAAATCCTATGTTTGTGTGGACCAGCCCAGACCCTGTGACCAGGCTTCTCCCATGGTGGCATGGCACATCAAGGTCTTGCTTGCAGTGCCCTTGTGAGTTATAGAGAGCATGGCTTCTGCCACTGATGCTCCAGGAGCTCGTTTCTCAGGAATGTGTGAGTTAAAAGATGGAGCTTCAGCTGCTGGAATTGAGATAGTTTGTTACACAGCAGTAGCTAACTAACACATCATCCCCCCTCCATGACTTTGCTCAGTTATGCCTCTATTCCTCTGCAACCAGAGTCATCCTGGCAATGCCCATGCCCACATTCTACCACAGACTTCTCCCTTAAAGGGGTATTCCCTGCAGGTAAGGAAAAGGGCTTCATCTTGCTGTGGTCTGACTATGCAAGTTATCATTTAGATATGAAATGTTCCACCATTGGCTTGTGCATTTAAAGACTTAGTACCCAGCTGGCAACAGTGTTTTGGGTGATTATTTAGGAGGAAATGGGTGACTACGAGATGGCCTGATTTCCATAACGGTATCCCTGCTTCTTGGTCATTGAGATGAATCAGTTGCCTACATTCCTCACCATATAGAGAAGCCACCCCACCATTGTGCCCTCCCCAGCACGATGCACCCAACCGCATATCCTGAACCATAAACCAAAACAAACTCCTCCTTATTAAGTTGCTTCTGTCAGGGAAAATAATGAAAGCATCAGCTTTATCAAAGCTGGGCAAAAATGGAGAGGAGTGATTTTAGCGGTATCTGCTACCTGCAAGAAGTGCCTATGGGCCCAGTTTCATCGTGTGTCTCCTTGGAAACCCCTGCTTTATTCCACCCTGGGCCAGTCAGAGCTGTGCCTCCTGGTTTTCTGGTGCTCAGCCCAGCTCAACTTCAGGACTCTCAGTTCACAGAGGCTGGAGCTGAGACACAGGGAAACAGGACAGCTTGCTGGGAGTCAGCAACCCATTGTCTCGTCTGGACCCTAAGAGACAGACGTTTGCTTTGCCGCTGGGGCTGATGTTTCTCGGTCTCATAGATCATGGTCTGCACTTTACTGAAGGATGAGGGGAGGTATTAATGTAGGGGACTGCAGGAGCCTGGAGGGGAGGAGAGAAAGGGATCCTCACTGAGAGAGTCATACGAGTCCATATGTACATGACCACACAATGTAAAGATGAGGGCTGTGCAAAATAAAAATAAACAGGCCTTGGTGTGCAGAGGGTGTTTTGTAGAAAGTGTTCCCTATGTTCACTCTGTACCTAGTGTCCCTCGATGTGTCCTGAGAGAGAAAAGGGGGCAAACACATCCCCAGCTCCCTAGCACAGGGACAGTTGGTGAGGAGGCAACCCTGTACCTTGGCCCCCTCCATTTGTGTCAAAGAACCTGGCCCCTTCTGTCTGTGGTCAAAGACTGTAGTTTATACCTTCCTTGGCTCTCTCAACGTTGCAGATAAGAATGGTTTCTTGGGCTGCAGGGGTGGCTCAGCAGTTTAAAAAGTATATGTGGCTTTTGTAGAAGACCTGGGTTCAGTTCTGTGTCTTAGTTGTTACAAAAAGTGTTCCAAAAATATCAGCACAGGTGTCCCTTTCATAGGCATGTTTCACTCTCTGTGCATACATACTTAGAAGTGGAATGGTTAGATCATGCAGCAGATCCGCTGTTAGGTTTTTAGGGTACTCCTTAGTGTTCTCCACAGTGGCGGTATTAATTTACATTCCCACTAACAATGTGAGAATCCCTTTTAATTTACATCCTTACTACAATGGCGGTATTAATTTACATTCCCACTAACAATATGTGAGAATCCCTTTTAATTTACATCCTTACCACATTTTTTCCTAATAACAATCTAATAAATTTAACCTAATAAAATTTAAGTCATTTATTATGCTTAGTTTGTATGTGTGCATGTATGTGTACATGTACATGTCACAGTTCACACATGGAGGGCAGAGGATAGCTTTGCAGAGTCGATTCTCTCTGGAATTGAACTCATGCTCCAAACCTGCATAGACAGCACCTTTACCCTCTGAGCTGTCTCACCACCACCATCCAGGAGTCATCCTGGCAAGGGTAAATTCATACTCCGTGTATTATTGGCATGTGTTTCTCCAGTGGCTAATGAGATGAGCATTTTCCTATATTTATTGGCCATTTATAGTTTGTATTTTGAGACATGTCAAGGGTACTTCCCCTAGTGATTTCCTGCCACTGGGGCCAACCACCTCAAAGTGGTTCTGTCACTCCCTGAAAGTGACATAAGCCAGTAACCAATGACTGGCTATTAATACATGACCTTTATATGTGTGTGAAGTAAGGAATTCTGGGTTTAGGGAGTTAGCTCATAAAGTGTTTGCCATTTAAGTAAGTATGAGGGCCTGTGTTCAACTCCCCCCCCAACCTACATTAAGGGAAGGAAGGGAGGAACAAAGGGAGGGAGGGAGGGAGGGAGGGAGGGAGGGAGGGAGGAAGGGAGGGAGGGAGGGAGGGAGGAAGGAAGGAAGGAAGGAAGGAAGGAAGGAAGGAAGGAAGGAAGGAAGGGGTAAAATAAAGAAAATGTCAGATGTTTGTAATCTCAGTGCCAGGGTCACGGAGACAAGTGGATTGCTGGGGCTTGTTGGCTAGCTAGCCTAGTCTACTCAGCAAGCTCCATGCCAATGAGAGGCCCTGTCTCAAAACCCAAGGTGGATGATGGCAGAAGCATGACCTCTGGCCACCACACACCTGTACCTACACACGAACCTTCACACAGGAAGAAATCCCGAGGCCTCAGGAAGAGTGCTTGCTGCCTTTGCGCCTGTCTCCTCCCGTGCGGGAATACAAGGAGATGCTTTGCACACACCAGGTCAGATTAGGCTGTCTATAGGGAAAAGCTTCCTAAGAGATGGCGGAGCACTCACCTGATGTGTGTGAGGCTAGAGGTTCCCTCCCCATAGAGGAGGGTGACTGATAATGGGGGGCAGCTTGTAGTCTTCTTCAGAGTCGAAGGTTCCTTGGACAGTTTGTGACATCATCACTTACAGTGGTCCTCCGGATACAGTACCAAACACTAGGACATTGTGCCCCTTGCAGGGACACCTCTAACGTCATTAGAACACCCCGCTCTGCCGGGTGCCAGCCTAGCTCGTGTCCCTGCCTGCATACTCTTGGATGCTGAGAGTGCTTGGTGGGTTGGTGGTCCTAAAGCTCAAATAAGGATTTTCTTCATCTTTGGATGAAGTAAATGATGGGTTAAGAGGCTGCAGGGGTAGTAGGAGGCTGGAGGACTTCAAACACGGCTCCAAAGCTGAGGGAAGATGTCGTCCATTATGACTGCAGCTAATGAGGGATTTCACCAAGACCCTATGCGCTCCCTTATGTTCAAGTTCACCAGCATCTCCTGTGGTTTCTTCTTGTCTTAGGTTCTCAGAGGCGGAGGCTCATTCCGGCATTGTCCCTCGATACCCCCTCACCTGTTAGAAAAACTGCCAGCAGCACAGGGGTCCGCTGGGTGGACGGCCCCCTGAGGAACACCCAGAGGGGCCTTGGGGAACCTTTTGAGATTAAAGTCTATGAAATTGATGATGTGGAGCGTCTGCAGCGACGTAGAGGGGGCACCAGTAAGGTGAGGCCATTTCCTTCCCAGGGGCCAGTTACCGCCAGGTCCTGCGTAAGGAATAGAACTTGAGGAGGGCCTTCTCGGGTTCAGTATGGGCAATGGGTGGTGCCGGGGTTGTGGACCCAGCCATAGACGTTGGTAGGTGCTGCGTGATCCTTTTCTGAGCACATTAAGAGCTAGAGCTAGAGTTGGGGCCTGGTGGGTTGAGGAACTTTTCTTGTTTTGAGGTTCTACACCTAGTGTAGACCAACATTTTGAAGGACCATGTGCCCTCTAGGTTAGAACAGCCTTCAGCAGTCTCCCAGGAGTTAATGTCTTGGTCGCCAAGGTCACAAGGATCCCTACCATGCTTCTGGGAAGCTGGGCTCTCGTCATCAGCTCCTCTCGTGGTCCTTCCTTCTGGAGGGGGCTGCGGGACTGAGTCAGAGCAGATGGTCCTCTCCCTTTCTCCCCCGCCACTTCCCACTTCTCCCTCTGTGAGCAGGAGGTCATGTGCTTCAACGCCAAGCTAAAAATCCTGGAGCATCGGCAGCAGAGAATCGCCGAGGTCCGAGCCAAGTACGAGTGGCTGATGAAGGAGCTGGAAGCAACCAAACAGTACCTGATGCTGGACCCCAACAAGTGGCTTCGTGAATGTAAGGCCAGTGGTGCATGCCCATCCTCCCTACCACTGCGGGCCCCGTAACACCACCCAGGAGCCTCACACAGGATGACAGCCACACAGACTGTCTGCATCTGAGGCCCATGGGCTGGAGGTGTCCTGCCGAGCAGCAAACCTGCCAGGCTAGGGCAACAATGGGCTAGTGAGAATTCCTGCGTGAGATGAATTCTTGCGCAAGCTGCCTTTTCTTGAGGGTCTCAGTTCAAAGCACCTGAAAGTAGTTTATTATCTCCCCTATATTTGGTGGAAGATCACTGACAGGAGGACTCCTAAACCACAGACTCACAGAGTTTTTCTAACCTAAAAATGAACCAGAACTGTAGCTCTCATGATAGACTAGAATGTGTCACTCTCAAACTGCTCCTGGGGACCATGAAGTCCAAGGACCAGCCCTGGAGTTATTTCCATTAAGCCAAAAGCCCAGGTGATATGAATGACCTGCTTACTCCTCACAATGTTACCAGTTCTTTGAGAGAGAGAGTTTATCTTAATTTATTTGCTCCTGGACATTCCATTTACTTTAAAGTAAGGCTTTACTTTGCCCTGGCTATGGTACGGGACCAATCCTGGAAGGATCTGTCCATGGGTAACTACATCAGCAGCATTATGAAGTCTCTGTCCCCAGCTGTCTGCTCACCTACCTGAATCCCTCTTGAGACACCCTTCTTCTCCATGTGACGCATTCCTGGTGCTCCCTGCTGGTGAGGAACCTCACAGGTCGAGCCTAGCAGCTTAGAATTGTGTCCCAAAAAGGGTTTAAAAACAGAGTGGAATTGAAACTGGTACAGAAGGCCAGCTCTACCAACACCTGACTGTGCCCACTGAGAGCAACCTCCACCCCCACCCCACCCCTTCAACCCCCACCTGTGCCCACTGAGAGCAACCTCCACCCCCACCCCAGCCCCTCACCCCCCATCTGTGCCCACTGAGAGCAATCTCCACCCCCACCCCACCCCACCCCACCCCTCAGCCCCCCACCTGTGCCCACTGAGAGCAATCTCCACCCCCCCACACACACACACACTGTCTCTTTCTTGGTAGCCCAGAGGACAGAGAGTCCTACTATTTTGGGTTGCCTCTGTGGCTCTGCTCAGGGTCCCACAGACCTGATTTGGGCACTGTTTTTGGTTTTGGATTTTTGGGGTTTCTTTGCTACATGCTGGCTGTGTGAGTTTGGGTAAAGTGTTTGATTCTCTGGGTCTTGGTTTCCCTAGTGTGAGATAGAAGAGAGAGGCCATGCCCGTCTCGCAGGGCAGTTCTAGGCTGGGATGATTGCTTAGCCTGCATGACCAGGAGAAGGAGTTTGGCATCTGGTGGGAATAGCTGCCGTTATCCCAGAGTTCAGTCGGATGCTCCTGGCAGTAGACACTTCCAATGCCTGCTTCCACAGCACATGGTTAATTCCTTGGTTGGGGATCTGGACAAAGACACAAAGTCTCCCACCAACGGAGTCTTTATCTCGGGTAGAAAGAGACTAACCCAGGAACAAGGGCAGGAGCTAAAATGTGACTGAGACATAAACACGCAGCCCAGTGTGTCTTTCTCCTGCTCGGCTCTCACTCGCTTCCTCCTCGGATCCTGGGTTCTCCCTGGTCACGGGGACTTCCCTCAGGCAGCGTCCTCACTCCCACCATCTTCTTAGAACTTCATTTTTCAAGAGAAGCTTGTGCCCAAGGCAGGCCTGAAAATGGTCTTCATTTTCTAAACTCACTTTTTCTTTTTCTGGAATTCAAATGAGCTTACATATCCATACATATGGGCCTCAGATGGTTGGAGGGGGCGACTGCTTTCTTCCTGCCTTGGTACATGTCAAGAGTAAGGGTTTTTTGTTTTGTTTTGTTTTTTCTGAGAGAAACAATGTATAGAAGGTTACACGAAAGGGGGAAGTACACATTTTAAGTTAAATTTAAAGCAGGAATGGGAGGAAATCAAGGAGGCTGCGTGCTGACACTCCCTGATGGGTCGCAGGCCCTGCTAGAAGGGCAATGTACTGGGATCCATATCCAGGCTTAGTTTTTCCTCCCGCTGCCTCTTTACAGTGGGGGCTGTGGTAATCCCTGATGTACTTACAGTAAGGTAAGGCTCTGATTTCAGTACACTGGGCTGAGATGCAGGGGCCCTGGGTCTGTTTCTAGCCACAATCCTTGTTAGCAATGGAACCCTGAGGCTCCCTTTCTGACTAGATGGAGGGGCTGCCCCTGCAAGAGAACTCCACTCCATCACAGAACTCGTGGTCCTGAGGCAGGGTGTGGTCTTGCACATCCGTCTCATATGTGTTGTTGCATACATCAGCGACTCAGGGTGGATGGGAGAAGCCGGGTAGGGATCCTATCGCTCCCTCCACTTGTGTTGCAGTGGAGGAAATAATGCCAGCTGAGGTGATGTTGCCCAAATAGGAATCCAATGTGAAGCTCCTGCCAGGCTACCCATACCAATTAGTTGCTGTCCATGCTGCACCCCCCCATGTGGGCCCGTTGTAGTACCCTAGAACTGTCTACCACTCTGCCAAGCCATAAAGGGGCAAGGGGGCTCCAGACCTCTGCCCCTGAGGAAGGGGATAGGCAAAGACCTTTGGTGCTATAGACCTGAACCCAGTGTAAGACTTCACGACTATATAACTCAAATTGTCTTTGGAGCCTAAGGGGGGTTTCTGTTATTAATACACATTTTTTTAAACATCATCTATACCTCCCAGTGGCCAGTGAGTGAGACTGAAGAAACTGGGTCAGGTGATGGTTCACACTAACCACCTCAACTCTCAGAGGGAAGAGACAGGGAGACTGGAAGATTAAGGCCCACTTCAGCTGCATAGAGAGTTGGAGGCCAACTTGTGATACATGAGACCCTGTCTAAGACACAGAAACAAAGCAACAAGCAGAAAGAGCAGAGCGGCGATTCCCAGACTGAGAGGCAGCAACACCAGGAGCGGGACCTGCTCTTTCTAGGGGGGTGGAATATGCGTGTCACTCTAGTGACATCATTCCTGAAAGGGGGACTCTTGCTGCCACAGCTCCCTAAAGCTGCTTGTGTTCGTTAACAGAGCAGTAGAGTGGGAACCTCACAAGTCCATGTTGGAGGCAGCTGGGGCAGGCACGGGAAGGCTCTAGACCACCTCCCTGCTCTTCAGAACTGTGTCTGAATGTTAAGGAGTTAGAATCCATGAAGGGCGTGTCTGCCTTTCCCCAGTGAATGCTGAGGACCAGGCGGGAGGGGATATTCGTGTTGCACAACTCAGGCAACCTTAGCCCAGAGGAGGTGGGTGTGGGGGAGGCAGCCCTTCCTACAAGTAGCTCTCCCAGCTCCAAGAGCTCCTTTCTCTTTCAGTTGACTTGGAACAAGTCCTGCAGCTGGATTCTCTGGAGTACCTGGAGGCACTGGAGGGCGTGACAGAGCGCCTGGAGAGCCGTGTCAACTTCTGCAAGGCACATCTCATGATGATCACCTGCTTTGACATCACCTCCAGGCGCCGATAAGGACCACTGGGTTCCAAGCCATCAGTCCCTCACTCCCTAGGACTTCAACAGGACACCACCCTCCAAGGCCCTCTGTGCTGGCAGCACTCAAGACGCAGGATGCGGATGAAGGTTGGTGGCAAGTCTGGAGTGAGCGAGGAGCGAAAGGCGATGTTTCCTTTGTTCTCTGTGGGGAAGAAAGGTAAAGACACCAACATGTGGAAGGAAGAAATGATGGGAAAACCCGCGGGACTGAGAAAGCACTTTGAGGAACCTGGAAGGTCTCTGTACATTAGGGCCGCTAGCAGAGACTCTTAGCTTGGGGTTGTGAGGAAGGGGAGGGTGACGTGGGATTGCCATTGAAAGCAAAACACCAACAAGACGACCCAGAATGATGGATTAAGTGCCTTGCAAATCTTTATGATTATCCAAACATTTGTGTTCATACTTTCTTGCGTCCAGATGGTGCTAGTCAAGAAGAAATCAACAAAACCGAAAACTCAAGCCCAGTTTTTGAAATGTATCTACAGCTCGTTTTCTCTTGGTTCTGACTTGCTGTTTGTTCCTAAGAAGCTGTGTTTGTAGTGATATTTCCTAATCAGTATTGCAGCTGAATAAATGTTAACTGTCTTTCATGGTTATTCTGGTAAGGCCACTCAGAACATGGAAACTGCATTGGCATGAGCCAGCGTGATTCCCAGGGAGGTTTAGAAGGGCAGGGGACAGGAGATGTCACCTTCCGTGAGCAGCAGGTCAGCCAACAGCTCCATGGTCACGCATAGAATGGGTGCACATGAGCTTTAGTGAGGAGGAGGGATGTCTTTAAGGGGAAGTGCATCCAGGTGACCTGGGCCCGTGTTCTTGTTTGTTTCATGGATCTGTGATCCTCAAAACAAGTTCATGTTCCTTTCCAGTCCAAAGCCTGTGGATGGACATCTTGAATGGCTTCAGTAGATGCTGTCTATTTGTCTTCATGTTCTGTGGTGTTATTTATCCAAGGTGGAGGTTGTCTGTTGTTGAGACTCTCTTGGGCTGCTTACATGGGTTCAGAGACTTGACATCCATTTTGGAAAAGGAGGCTTGGGGTTAGGGTTGCATAGCTTTCTGTCACCGAGGGCCCTGTCCACTAGTAAGAGGTCAGCTCTCAACCTGTCCTAAAACCTCTGAAGCTCGTCCCTGAAGCTGTGGTATCCTGAGGCAGAGAGAGGAAACACATCCCCAAATTCCGGAACCCTGGATATGCAGGGCAGGGCTAAATGAATGGAGAGACCGAGATCTTGCTCCCCCCTAAAACTGAGGACTTCATTCTCAAATTACTCCCCTCCCACAGGATTGTTGAACCATGTTAGGGATACAGGCCTGCGGCATGGGATGACCAGGCTTCCGCTGACCACAGGCTGCTGGAACAACCCAGCATCCGGGGAGAATGGAGAATTCTCCGCTCTCCCAGAGCCGATGCAGCCCGCCTGTGCATATACATGCTCAGGGTTTGGAAAGAGGGCTCTGCATCCCTGCCCTCCCACCAACCAACTCCTCAATGCCAGACGCTCCCAAAGAGAAAGACTTTTGTATTTCTAGGTCAGCCCTCGCTCTGGCCACATGTACCCCAGCCCAGCACGGTATGTCCCAGCAGAACTCACTGCACAGGACCTGAAGTCATGTGAGTGCCATGGCACCTGACCCTTTACCCAGAACAGGGCACAGATGAGACCACCAGCATGACTGTACTACAGGTCAGCTCTGTGGACCAAAGGTCAGTCTCATGGGTCACAAGTCCTGCTTTGCACATTCCTAGGAGTTGATGCTTAAGAAAAAGGGTCCCAAGCTGCTGGTTGAATGGTCTAAGCTCTGGAATAGCCCATCCGCTCTTCGTGCATCCTACAACTTTAACAAGTATGTCTCCTGGGGAAGCAGGGCCTCCCCAGATCTTCCACAGCTCCTCCTCAGGGCCATTCTGCAGGAGTCCTGGGCTCAGGGCCGACCTCAGCCTTGTAACACATGTGTGCACGGACCTTCTTAACAACAATGTTCTTGGAAGCTCTGGACCCGTAGGGATGCCAATACTACGAACATCTGTTTTGATTGGTGGTTTGAAATGTACTTCTGTGTTTTGTTTTTCACAAAAGGTCTTGGTTTGGGAAAGTTTTTAAAAGTGAGCATGTCTGGATTTCTTTTCCCTGCACGAGAGCGAATTCATTTGATTAGTAATCTGTGAGCTTGGCTTTGGTCCCTGCTGCCTTTTCCCTTAATCCTGAGGTCATCAGGCCCCAGTGAATCCTTTAGTGGGCCACCAACAGAGCCCAGTACCTTTGCTGGAGTGAGATCATGCTGACTCGTCCATAGAGAGCAGACCCTCCTTCAGAAGGTTCTCTTGGGGAAGTAGACTTCGGTTGCCTCCCGTGCAGACCTGTTTGCATGCATTCCAAGTAACTTCATGCTGCAGCAGCAATGGCTTAGCAATGGTACTAGGGTTCCTTTACCAAGCCAGGTTAGCTTCCAAAGAGGTCACAACCACATGGCAAAGCATCCCATGGGATCCAACAGGCTGTGGTGCATGGAGATATTTGTGTGAAATAGTGTACATCTCTTGTTCATTCTCATAACTTGTCCCCCTCCAAAGTAAACTGCAAGCATCTTAATCTACCACATTGCATTATCTTAACTGATAGCTTGTGGAGAACCCCTGCATCCCATGATGCACCTGTTCCCTGCCCTGCCTTTAATCTGCCTGTGGGAATACAGAACTTTAGGCACAAAGAAGTAGTCCTAACATCTGAAGACAGTGCCAGTGGGAAGTGGTTCCAGATTTGGGTTGGAAAAAAACAAAACAAACAAAGAAAAAATCCAAGAGGGCAAAAGGGATGTCAAGGAACTTACTTCTACTTGATTATCTGTCTACAGAAAGGCTGGAATCATTCTTTTTAATATTAATATTTAGAGACATATGTCTTACTTAAATTCTGCCCATTTTCCCCAACTCTAGCCCTGCTTCAAAGAATTAATGTGAGGTAGAAGCAGCCAGGTAAACCTGAAAAAAAAATCTGAGTACAAATCTGAGACAGGGACATCATTCTCCCAGGAGGAAACCCTTAGTTCATCTCCCCGGGGTGTCGGGGAGGGGTTGCTTCTCCCAGGGAGCCTGCATTTGCTTTGTCTTGGTTTTCAACACCCACCTAAGAGCTGGAAGCTTTGGTCTTTTCCTTGAACCCTCCTGGACACCCCGTGAGGCTGTCTTTCACTTTCATCTCTGCAGAGTTGAAACTGGCATGTGTGGTTTCAACTCCAATTGCTGCTCTGAACATGGGAAACATAGGACGCAAATGCCGAGGTGGGTGCCCTAGTGACAGAGCAACGACCCGAGCGATGACCTCTAGAGGTAGAAGGGCTCCTGAGCTAGAGGCTGGGGTAAGGACCACCACACAGGCCCAGAAAAGAGGCAGAAAACATGCTCATCGGGCAGAAACCAGGTCCCATTTGTCGTGGATATCAGCTTAAGCTTGGAGTCTAGAGTCCAGGAAGGATCACTCGTGCCGTGTGCCGTCAAAAGGACGTACACACTCAGTCTGTGCTTGCTGCACCGGCTACGAGGGGCGTGGACCTCACCTCCCCAGGGACAGCCACCTTCTCTGCTCTTCATATTCTCGTGCCCCTCATTAATCTGAGCTCACTCATAAGCCTTCCTGTAAGACTTGTATTTCGAACCTGCCGTCTGCCCTTGACTTCCTGGTAGAGAAGGTGGGTTGCCAAAAGTCCACCATTTGCACTGTGCAAACATGGCCTTTGCTGATCGGTAATTGAGCCCAAAGTGAATGTTTTTTTGGGTTCCTTGTTCCACCAAGAATTCTAGTCTGTAAAAGAAATTACTAAGCACCAGTTCCTTCCCAAATTGAAAACAGATTTCCGGAATGTTGTTCTTTCCTTGGACATAATACAAAAATATTTCCTCCCTTTTAGGGTAGTTTATCTTTGAAACCCAAAGCCAGTGCCCATTAGACACAGGTTGAAAATCCTGTGTTCCACAAGTTGATGCTGACTAAGACATCCACTGTCATTGTCCCTGGAGCCTCCCTGCCACTGCCTAGCATCATGGCCGGGCTTTCTGCATTGAGAGAGGTGCCCTCAGTGCTAACACATGTGTGACAGCACCGCAGGGGAGGGGTCGGCACGGCTCGCTCTTCTCCATGCCAAGTTAAACTGCTGAGGGCAAGTTTCACAGACATGGGTCTACTCTATTTTTTTCTGTTTTTTTGAAGTGATAGAAACACAGTGTTCTTTTATATTATACAGAGTACCACTCCCCTCTTCTGAACAAATGTCTGTAACCACTTTACAACATTACACAGCTGTTTGTAAAACAATGCATAAACTGCATCCTTTAGCAATCTCCTAGTGTGTCATCCGGAACATACCCTGAAATGACAAATTCTGCATTATTTTCATAAGAGTAAAAGCAGAATTCTAACACAAGAAACTCTTAAATCCAATATATCCTCTCCAAAAAAAAGTTTTTTGAAAAATCCTGCGAGTTAATTTATTGGTCCCTAAACACATTCTACTTAGGGGTGGACCTATTCGAAACCTGAGCTGATGTCACAACAGTGTGGCACTGTGGGTAGGCCCAAGCCTAACATTCTCCACATACAGCAATTCCGGGTGCCACAGTTGTGGGAGTGAGCGTTTCGATCCCAGAGTCATGCATTTGTTCTATGCACACTTAGAATGACCTTTCCCCAAGGAGTCTTCCCATCTCTGTTCCCCACAGCCAGGCTTGACTTACAGAGACATTCCCACTGACTTACAACCTCAGAACGCTGTCCTGTAGCACCGCTTGCATTTCTGGATCTCTTTACGCATCGTGTTCAAGAATGCCCTCCACGTGCTCTGTCGCGGTGTGTGCTTGCTCCATCTCTGTCTTTCTCTTCTGTTTTCTTTACTCCAGCAAAGTCTATTGGCAGCGTCCTGGGCCAGGGAAGGGAGGATGGATACCGACGGGGGTGGGGATCTCCTCCTCCGACTGCAGAGCTGTGCTTGGCTGGCTCTCTGAGACAAAGTTCTTCCTTCCCAGTTGGCATGGTGGTGAAGTCGGGAAGCGGGTTCCATGGACCTCAGTAGCAGAGGATCCAGCCTCCTCCAGCTGGGTCTCCACACAGCCCCTGAGGAAAGTCCTGACAGTGTTAACTTCTACCCATCCCCAAGATCCCCAAGAGGTCCTGGCCTTGGATAGATGTTGTAGCTATCTGTTTGTTAAAGAAACCAAAGCACTTTAGTGAGTCTTACAACCTGTAATACTTATGGCATGTGTCCCCTCGCTGGATCTCTGAGAGGCAGAGAGGGGATTGGGCCAGTAGTCTCATTTGAGAGGCAGCTAGAATGAGGAGGGAAACCCTGGAGCTAGGAGGCAGGGAGCCGGGGCCGCAGCTGGTGCTGTCACTAGCATAAACCTTGGGTGGGCTGCTGCATTTTGCTGGGCCTCGGGTCCCCTGTAGACAGTGTGTCGGGGAGTCATAAAAGCTGCCCTCCTGGGCTAGTATAAAAGGAAAGGAACTGTGTAATTGGTGGGACACGGTTTGAAGAAATGAGACGCTCTCTCCAGGGTAGGGGGGATCATATATAGATGAAGAAACTGACATCAATGGTCACTAACGGGCCCAGTCCACAGAAGGGTCTCATAGCAGGTCTGGGACATGAGCCCAGACACCTGGGCTCTCTCTTAGACCACCTTGCACCCAGAGTGTGTACACGATCACACGACGCTCCTCTGTGCCAGTATGTGGACATTATGGGTGTGTCTGTACAGAGGGTGTGTAACACAGACGAACAGCATAAGACAAAGGCCCCGAGGCTAATTCTGTTTTCAACAGTAGACCTACCTGTTGCCTGCGACACAAGCAACTCTTCCGGAACTCGGATTTTCTAAGTTGTAAAATGAGGACATTGTGGTACAAGGTCTTTGCGGTTCTTCCAGCTCTGACTATGAGAATCCACGATGAGTGATGTATGTATGTATATATCGATATGCTTATCTGTAGAAATGGGCCCACTGGGAAATTGGAGACAGGCCTGCCTAAGTACATTGATGGTGTCAGAATCGGCAACTTCACAAGTCCATGAGCCTTCGTTTTAAAAGTCGATGGTGGCATTTATAGTCATTGTTTCAAAGTCACTGTTTACCTGGATAGAGGATTGGTGCTGTTTTAGAAATTAAGTTCTTAGCTCGCAAGTGTTTGCTGTTAATTTTTTAAACACAGTTATTTGTTCAATAGTCAAAATTTTAACTCTTCTGCCTTGGGCAGGTCCCCAATAGCCCGTTTGCAGGCTGGGTTTTTGTGTATGGGCTTTTACATAACTATCTAAAATTTAGCTGTTGGCTTGATCATGGTAAATATGAACAGATTGCCTGGAGAACAGTCCAGAAAAGAATTGAATTCTATAGTTCTCATCAGCTGGTGACATGAAAATCATTAAGCTATGTGCGATTTCCTGGTGTGAAGATGTTGTTTGCTGGCTACGGTCTCTGACTTTGTGGCATATGAAGTATAAAATGTTGTAAAAAAAAAATCTGGTGTTTAAAAGAATCAAACTATGGTGGCATTAAATGTTCACTTTTATCTACCCAGACTCATGCCTCCTTCTCTACCCAAAAGGTCCTTTGTGCACAAGGGAGATGCAGTTCAAGAACCAAGGTGCTTCACCATGGTAAAGCTATGCCTTAGAGAGGGGGAGGCGAGGCCCCGCAGGTCCTCTGGGATTCACCTGGCTTGTCCTACTGTGGGGCTGTCCTCCAACAAGTCAGAGCCTCAAGCAGGAATGGATGGAGGGGAGGATTACGTCACCAAATCCCAGGAATGGTCCTCCATCCCAGAGAGTCTACTGGCATGGTGTAGAGCCCACCTCCGCTCAGTACTTCTGGGGTCTGTCACACAGAGTCAGGGCGTGTGCTGTGGTTGCAGATGACTTTAGCCTGGACACAGGGTTCCTCATTATACTGGAATTTGTCTCAACTATGGCTAAACACATTCCAAAAGAAGGAGAAAAAAAGATCAGGACTGTACAAACATCTCCTAGGGCAGCCCCTGCTCCCAAGGACAGGTGTCGACACAGTAGCAGTAGTGGTCATTGGGTGCACCAGTGCCTGGGGGACAGGCCCGGTCACCATGGAAACAAACACGTACTCTTGCTTCTGCCCAGGACTGCTCTGAGTCACTGACCTTGCTCTGAACCTTGCCTGGCCTGTGGGGCCCTAAGGCTCTTGCTTTTCTTCTCCTCAGATCCTAGACAAGACCTTCCTGGGCTCCCATAGGCCACCAAAGATACTCTATGGAAACAACCTCAGGGGCCTTAGTGGGAACACCGTCTCGGGAAGCTTGAGGATTGCTGTGCACATCAGCCCCTTGGGAGAACAGAGAATGCCTTGGCGGAGAGGGGATTGCTCCCAGTCCTCTTGCTCCTCCATGAAGACCTCCATCCCTCAGTTCTCCAGGGTCAGGCATCTCGTCCCCAGTTCACGCCTGCCCTCCGAGGGGAACTGGCCAGGACAATGAACGTGGTCATCAGAACAACTCTGTGTTTTACATAGTCAAGTTTCTAGATTGCTATCCACATTGTGTGTGTGTGTGTGTGTGTGTGTGTGTGTGTATCTGTGTGTGTCTGTCTGTGTGTGTGTGTGTGTGTGTGTCTGTGTCTGTGTCTCTGTGTCTGTGTGGGGCACGGATGTGTGTGACCTAAGTGTGGGGGTCAGAGGTCAACCTCAGATGTTTTTCTTTGGGCACAGTCCACCGCATTTCTTGAAGCAGGATTTCTTACTGGCCTGGAACTTGCTGTCTAGACTAGGCCATCTGGTAAACCCTAGGAATCCTCCTGTCTCCACCTCCTCAGTGCTGGCATTGCAAGTACACACCACCATATCTGGCTTCTTTAAAGCACTGGTTGGTTCTGGGGATCAAATCCGGTCCTCAAGCCTGTGTGGCCAGCACCTGACTGACCAGCCATCTTTCCAGCCTCTTCCATTTGTTTTATACGTGTGGCCATGTATCTGCCAGAAGCAACCTAAGAGGAGAAAGATTTATTTTAGTTCATGGTTTCATGGTATATAGTCCATCATGGTGGGCCCACCAGGTAGTATAGCTCATCCGCAATGGTTCTGAGGCAGCAGCTGGTCCTACCAGGAAGCAGAAAGAAAGCCAGGCTGTAGCTCTCCAGGCTGTTCAGGGGCCTCAAGACCAAAGGTTCTATTACCTCCTTAAATCATGCCACTGGCTGAGCACCAAATGCTCAAACACAAGAGCCTGTGGGATGTTTCATATCCAACCCATGACGTCATTCTTTTCTATTCAACCAACAAGCCTGTTGCTATTTTGTCTACCACAGTACTGCGATGCCCATGGTCAGCTAGCTGCCTTTGGGACTATGATGCCATGAACAGCCATGCAAGGGTCTTTCATCCCGAATTAGCAGGTCAGGCTATTCCTGTTCCTAGCAGAGTTTTGTATTCTATATAGGGGCTGTCACAGTGTCTGGGGCCTCCATCTTCTGCTCTAACTGAAGGCATTTCTCGAAAATCCTTATAATCACGTGGGATACTTGGAGTATGGCCACAAAGATTTAGCTGGATGTTGTGGAGGCTGCTGGCTGAGTTTTTCCTGTCCCCCTTTCCTAGCATCCAGAACCAATCCTGTAGCTCAAGGAGCACTCAACCAACACCAGCCGAACGAGTGAGCCAACCAACCATCTCGGGGAGATGATGTAGCAGGAGAGCCAGGAATGGAGGTGCAGAAACTTCAGGGTCCCTTGAGGAAGGTACCAGAGGACTGAATTTGGAAAACCCTAGCTGACACAAAGCCCACAGTTCACAGAGGAGGGGGTAGCAGTGCTTGGTACCAGGGCCAAACCTAGGCCCGTGGTCTATTATACACACAACCACAGCCGAGACCTCCCAGCCACCAACCAACCCTGGCTTCCGAATTCCTAACACTACTCCCTAAGACATGAAAGCACATGGTGTTTCTGAATCCTGTGGCACCCATGTAGAAGCAAGCACTGAAGAAGCCTTTATGAACCTCCCTTCTGGTCACGGGGATAAAATAAATCCTGGGCTTCCAGTTACACACAGTTACCCATGGCGACAGGAGAATACATAGCATTATCATCAACAGCAAAGGCCTCTTCCCTTTCCTGCAGTGAGGGCCCAGGACCAAGCCTCCACTGGGAAGTGTTTTTTAGAGCACAAGGAAGGAGGAGGAGAGACATGATGGCACAGTGAGCATTGTCCACCTGCCTGGAGGAGGTGATTGGCAGGTCACCATGCTGTCATCATAGGGGAGCTACTGTGTAGGCCCATCTGCCTTCAGGGTACATGGTGGCTGCATTACTTTTCATCGCTAAAATTTTGGAACTACCCTGTTCCTTCTTCCATGGTGGGACCCAGGAATTGGGTTTGCTTTTTAGTTTTGTGTGTTTGTTTTTGGTTTTTTGAGACAATGTTTCTCTGTGGCTTTGGAGGCTGTCCTGGAACTAGCTCTTATAGACCATGCTGGTCTCAAACTCACAGAGATCTGCCTGCCTCTGTCTCCCGAGTGCTGGGATTAAAGGCATGTGCCACCAACACCCCCACCTGGCTGCTTTTTAGTTTTTAACCCTTTGTTGTGTTTTGTTTGAGAGCAAGTGCCACTCTGTTGCCTGGACTGTTCTGGAACCTGCTCTGTATATGTAGTCCATGCTGGGATTGAAGTCATAGCACCCTTCCTTCCTCAGCCAAGGGCTGGGATAACAGGTGTGCTGGCACTAGGCACCTTTATTTTTTAATTTTTTAAAAACTGGACTTATAAAGATGGAACTAGGAAATAAAAATCACCTTTTAGCTCACACCAATGAGAAACACTGCTGCTATTATCATTAGTTTGTGCATGATCTCTGTCTCTGTCTGTCTGTCTGTCTGTCTCTGTGTCTCTTTCCCTCTCTCCTCTCACACCCTCTGTGTATGTGCCTGTTTCTCTCTGTGTGTCTCTTTCTCTCTCTGTCTCTCTCGTTACAAATAAACTTGACTATGAAGACCCTTTCCCTCAGTCCCACCAGCACAGCCAGAACAGCACAGTGTATGCTCTAATGACAGGACTGGGCCAGCTGTGGAACATTTTATCATATGGACTAGGTCCCCTTGATGCACCCTATCCCCAGTCATGGCCCGTGAGCTTGCACTCACTTCCCATTGTCATCAGTTACACTGTCACAAACACATTAAGCATGAATCTCTTCTTTAATTTCTCTGACACATCCCTGAGGATAAAGTCCTAGTTGTGAACTCGCTGTAACAACAGGAATGAAACATTGTTACAGGGCGTTTTACACACACCAAGTGGCCTTCAACTGTCCATCTGAACAATGAATAAAAGATTCCCTGATGGCCCCAAACGAAGTTTTCTCTTCCTTCTTATACCTGTTTCATGGATTCACTTGCTTGTTCATTCCACAAATGTATAAAAAGGAGTTCTCACAAGGTCAGCACATCCGTTAGAAGATGCACCAAATTCTTGGCCTGTGCGGCGTCTACGTATTTTAACAAAGGGCATGCACATCTGTCTTTGAACTTGGCTTCTGGGGGCAGAGGCTGCCTTCTGTGACTTAGCACAGAGCCACACACAAAATGAGTTATGACATGGAGGGTTCAGGCAGAGCTATCAAAGAAAGGGGAATTTATATACAAAAGAAACTATGTCCTGGGACTGACTGACTCTCTCTTTCTGTCTCTGTCTCTCTCTCTCTCCCCCCCCCTCCTTCCCTCCCTCCCTCTGTCCCTCTCTCTTTCTCTCTCCTCTCTCTCCCCCCCCCTCTCTTCCTATCCCTCTCTCAGTCTACTCTCTGATTCTTGTCTGAGGAATCCTTGAGAACCATGACCTGCAGTACCAGAGCATGTCTGTATTCTCATGTGTCAGAGCCAAGCCCTGGTCTGTCCTGTCTGGCTTCTCCTGGGGATTTTTCAGTGGCTAACCGCAGGCAGTGTGCAAGGATATGCTGTGATCTGGTCTTTGCTCAGCAGGCCTAAGACAACAGTGGATTTTGTTCATTTTCTGACCTTTTTTACAATAGAAACACATGTGGATCAAGGTTCAGGAGGCTGGAAGTCCAAAGGCACAGTGCCAAGGTCTTACAGAGTCATCCTATGATGGAGTAGGGGAGGGCAAGGAACCTGAGCAGGACAGGAACCCTGAGGAAGGACAGGTGGGCCATCCTAATCATGTCATCCTAACATAGAGACTTTCTACTACGTCCCACCTTTAAAGGTCTCTCAAGAGTGCCAGTCTGGGGACAAACCCCTTGTCACTCACACCTGGCAGGGACACTTAATGCCTAAACTCCAGCAGTAACAAAACCTGAAGGTTTTTCTGTAGGGACTCCTGGAGTGCAGTTAGGATTAGGGTTTGTATTAGTGTTAGTGTTTGGGTTAGGGTTAGGTTTAGGATTAAGCTTTGTGTTAGGTTTAGTGTTTAAGTTAGGCTTAGGGCTAGGCTTTGTGTTGGGGTTAGAGTTTGGGTTAGGGTTAGGTTAAGGGTTATGGTTTGTGTTAGTGTTTGTGTTTGTGTTAGGCTTAGGCTTAGGGTTAAACTTTATGTTGGGGT